AAAGGAGCCTTTTAAAAAGAAGGAAAATACAAAAAATAAGAAGTGAATCCATACAAAAGAAGACAAAACTAACAGACGTCCTGTACTACTGTCTATGTTTAAAGTGGCGATGGGCTGGCCACGTTGCACGTTACAATGATAAGCGATGGACAGCAGAAGCAAGATAGCTACAGCCGGCAAGGACTGGATTAAACTGGAGGAGGCTTATACCCAAACAGGGGTTCTTATCTAAGCGCAAATGTAGTAAATAATACGAAACAATAGTTAAGTGAATAGTCATAAGTGAAATTATATATATACTTACATGTAATACTCAGGTGATGGGAAATAAAAAGGCTTTATTATTATTATTACAATAAAGTCAAAACAGTCGAGTCAATCAAGTCGATCAGTCAATATCAGTCAAACAATTTGCAAAGTACTGTACCGTGTATCGATCCGCCCAGGTCCGTTCGCGGTAATGAAAAAACTGCGATCAGATTTGGATCGTATGGAAGAAATGCATGTCATTGAAAGGGTTACCAAAACCCACAGAATGGGTTAATTCTGTTGTCATTACAGTTAAGAGTACAGCTCAGTTAAGAATTTGTCTAGATCCTACAAATTTAAACAAAAATATAATGAGGGAATGTTACACACTGAAGACGATAGATGAGATTAGATCTCAACTAGAAGGTTCAGTCTCTTTTTCTCGTTTAGACCCATTTTCCGGATTTTTGATGTTACGTTTAGATGAATATAGTTCAGATTTAGTAATTGGTATTTAATATTAGCTGCTCCAGTTTTAATTTGTATGTGACACAGTCGTGTGAGCCGCATCGATGGTCAGATGATTTTTTGAACCACCTGCACTGTGCGCACGTGGGCTTAAAATCTGGTGTGTCTTTATCTGGACAAGCCGCGTTTCGTGTGCGGCGGCGCAATTAGCATAAGTAGGGGTTTTAATGGTGCAAAACTTTTGTACATGACCGAACTGCTGACAATTTAAGCACCGAACTACTCCTATATCGTCTATGAATCTACAAGTGGCCCAGTCTATATAAAGTTTATCTTTTGTGTTGGCTAGATGTTTTCGAACTGCTGCCTCTAATTCTAAGCCTATCCATTGACGCCCATTTTCTAGTTTACGATGCCTAACAAGTTTGGTTGACTTAATAAAATCGTTCTCACTTAATTTTAATTCGTCCTTGATATTCTGACGGTATAAGGCTGTTAGGAAGGCACGATCTTCCATAGAACCGGGTACGTTTTTTACAATTATACGGGCCTTACGGTCTTTCGGTTTTTCTAATCGTAACCCGACTGATTTAATGGCGTGTACAGATTCCAGTTTCTTAAGTTGCCGTTCGTTAGCTACACGTCACACGACGCCTGCCTTAGAGGTTTTTTTAACCTATAATTTGGAATCCCTCATCCCCCGGTTTAATAGCCTTCATGAGAGCTTGTTTCGTTGCTGACGAGGTCCTATAGTCCGCTAAGCGTTCCGTAGTGGGATAGGCAATAACACAAGGCCTACGAAAGCGCGCTTCAGTAGGTACCGGGCACGGGGCGGATTTAGGTAGTAAGCGAAGCTTAAGTTTGTCCGCGTACGTTAAACTCGTTGGTTGAGTTGCGATACCCTCCATTTGTCGCTCAAAATTCGCTAACTTCTTTTCGTTGCTAAAGGATTTTATTGCTAACAAGGATACGATACCCGTAATTCGTTGAGTAATATCCATAATTCCCGTTTTATTACCTACATTCATCCGAGATCCCTGATCCTGAACTAATTCATTCGTTTTTGCTTAATAGTCGGTAGCCTGTGAGACTAACTCGCAGTAATTGTACTCCCCACAGTTATCACGACCGCTAAGTGACGAAACATTTCCATTTAAATCCGAATTAATAATGTGTTTACTTCTATTGTATTTCGACAAGAAATCCGTAGGTAACATTTCGTTAAATGTCCTTTTTCCGGTTGATGTTAGAAATTCACTTACACTACACTTGCATAGTTTAGATTTATGTACATTTCAAACACCTTTTAATAATATTTTTAATATTTATTAATATATAATTTATAATAAATATTTAAGACTAGCAGCCCCGGCTTCGCACGGGTGTGATTCCATAAGAAGGATTAATACTCGTATTTAATTATTTAGAGCTTCTCTGTAAACTACATTTGATGTTATGTTATTATGGGGTTATAAAATATATATTTTTTCGGGAGCTCCAACTCGCGATAAGCCAACATACAGTTGGCCATGAGTAAAACACTCTTTTCGTAAGTCTATGCCTACTAAGTGTAAAGTTTGGCCTTGAGATTTATTAATTGTCAAAGCGAACGATGTTTTCACAGGAAATTGAAGGCATTTGAAGGGTATTGGCAAATCGGTAGGGATCATAGGTATCCGGGGTATGTGCGCTAACTGACCAGCTGCGGGGCCAGTGATTATGGTCGCTACAATGATATTGTCCCTCAATTCCTTTATAAGACGCGTGCCCATTGCACATGCTAGGAAGGCTTAAATTTCGTAATAGCAAAATAGGCGTTCCAGTTTTTAGCGTTAATTCATGTGGAGGGATTCCAGATGGGTTAAGAGCATTTAGAAATTCCTGTGGATAATGTACTGTGTCTTCCTTATTAGTAACGGTGTCTATAGATTTATATGTTTTGACCGGGCCGGGGACTTTTTGTAAAATTAAATTGTTCATTGACAGTGTCATTTCTAGGTAAGAGTATTGCTCTAGAACACAGCCAATGAAAATCTCTTTGGTCAAAATTTTCGATATCAGGATATATTGCATCTATTAAAAATTCTAAATTATGGACTATTCGCCCTAATGATTAATCTAAAAGGACATCATAGCTGCTGCCTCAATTTAAAGAGGTAAAAATTTCTTGTCCAAGTTTTAGCAGCTGTTATGGGCAATGCTATGCGTATTTCCAAGAAGATGAGGTCTCATATTAGTCCGTAAGTTTAAACTTTTAATCGATGTCCATAGGGGAGACGATTTCAAGCATGCTTTCATAATATCTTCACGCGTTCCTCTATTAATAACGGGAAGTGTTTGACGGAAATCTCCTGCAAATACAAAAGTAATCCCACCCATTACGGCAGAGTCTTTAAGATCCTTTAAGATTCTATCCACAGCCTCGACATGCGCTCTATGGATCATGGTGCATTCATCCCATATTATCAATGACGCTTCTTGTAATAATTTACCAAGTGGCCTATTTTTGAGGATAGAACATGTAGACCGTTGATCTAGAGATACGGATAGCGGGAGTTTTAAAGTAGAATGAGCAGTTTTTACTTCACTTAAGAGGGTTGCAGCAATTCCTGATGAAGCAACTGCTATCGCAATTTTCCCTGATTGTCTTATCTTAGAAGGTATTAAATTTGCAAGAAACGTCTTGAACGTGCCTCCAGGCGCATCCAAAAAAAATAACTGTCCCTTGTTATTATTCACGCTATCCACTATAATCTCAAAAGCATGTCTTTGATCTGCGACTAATTTGGGCACATTTTCATTGACAAACGCTGTCAAATCATTGGTATTATAGTGACGTAGCGTTGTTTCTATATCATTATTTTGTGTTCGAACAGAAGTCGGTAATCCAAAATTACTTAAATTTTTATTATTTAATTCCCATAGCTTATTTTCAATTTGTATCAAACCTTTGTTATAAATATTTTCACTGAAAGGTAAAGTAAGGTCTTGGTGTTACTGTCTGATTCTGTGTCTTATATCATCACATAAATCATCTTTGAAATTATCGAACAATTTTAATGGTTCTGAAGGCGCACAAAACAAAAGTATGACTTCAAACAACTCTCTAAGATTTGTTGGACATTGTGAAATAGAAGCTTCTGTTAGACTATTTTCCCAATGATCATCACTTTCAAGCAAACCTCTTTCACGGCAAGCGTCTTGATAGGTCTCTTTGACAATTCCATTTAAAGTTTTTAAGTACTTGAATGAAGTCGGACAGCGCACGTGATGTAGCAACATTCTGAAGCAAAAACACTCGATTGGGAAGGATGTATAACATATAGACGCCGCTATATAGACGCCGCTTTAGGAAGAGTCTACGCTCTTCCTAAAGCGGCGTCTTTTTTAATGGGTGGATGATCAACTACATCCTCACCACTTTTTCTTCTTGTAAAACTATTATTGGCCCATGTGTAGTATTTAGGGACTTCGTGGTAAAGAAGAGTTTTTGCAAATTCATCTCTACTACAAAGATTAAAAAATAAGAGCAACGTGGTGTTACGTGGGTTTCGAGCTACTTGATGAGCACTCCCTGCTGTAAAATATACCCTTTGGCCATTTTCTAAAATACACGACTGTAGGGTACCGCTCGTGAATCGGAAACTCCAATATACGCCACACCGCTTCAGAGGTACTTATATACCGTCCATTCCCATACTTTTCGACTTCATCAGTAGGATTGCTGATACCGAAGGTTGCCTGGTCCGACCCTTTGTTAATATACTTGCATATATCGTCCCCGTAGTTGGAAAATTAAATAAGTCCGGTTTTGGCGAAATTGACTTTTCCCTATTTTCAAAACACCTAAAACATGCCGCATATTTGAGCCTTACAGGCATTTTCGTATCTTATTCCATTTCAAAAATATAGCCATTTTTGTCGGACAGATGGAATAATAAATATCTTCAGACTAACACTATTTTTTTGAGGGAAAAATAAATAACTCAGTAAATAAATCAATAACTGTGGTCAATGATAAGTTAAATGGCAAATAAATTAAATAACATGAGTTATTGAATTTTGTCTCAACTTAAAAAATCTTTCACAAAACTAACTAAGTTCTAAGAAAACTAAATAACTCTATTTATTTAATTCTGCTATTCAGAATTCTGATACAACGTACCTAATTTATAAATACTTGGTGTTGTCTATTTCTTCTACAACTAGATAATGATAAATTATAAGATGCTAGGCAAATAAAATTAAATAAATGAAGTTGTTTATAATTGCCATAAAACAAAATGTACCAGAGGAAAGTTATCATTATTTTTTTAAGAGAATTTGGCGCGAAATATTGTAAGTACCTATCAATGCAATGACTGATCGGGAACGACGGAAAGCGCGGGGGTAAGCGCGTGCGGCGTTTTATTTAGTGCTTTGATTTGACTTGACAAACTTAACTGCAAAAACTCTTTTCACATGGTTATTGTTTTACTTGTTTCCTAATTAAATACCTGCAATATTATAGCTTCTTATTGTTTTAGGACAAAAATAAGACAATCAAACAACAGGACCAAAGTACCGTTACTGTCAGCCCACATAATGTTATAACATGCCAGAAATCACCATCCGAAATGAACAAAAATGTTTGCAGCGACATAAATGTTATTGTTGATATTACGATAGAAAAAATGCCAGATGGGTTGTTAGTTTTTGATGTTCCTAAGCTTCCTGAGCATGACGGATTTAAGATAATTACATGCGAATCGGCTCCAGCATCAATAATGGCTAGCGAAATGATTACTAATAACATTAACCCACCCCAATTAGCACCTATGCATGTAAACGTCAGTCCCATGTCTTTGTGTAGCAGTAAATTTAATTTAAATGAAGATGACAACATAATATTATACAACTATAAAGATCTCAATCGCCTATCACAGGGTTAAGTCCCATTTCGGGTATCGAACCAATGCCACCTTTGACAGATGAGGAACTTTTTTCTGATTCTGGATCTTCATAAATTCCGGACACAGAAGATGAAAATAAAATAAAAAAGAAACACAGTTCTTTAATAAACATCAATATTTCAGCGGCTAAGAAGAAAAAAAGAATTAAGAGATTTGAACGTATAAAACTCTGATTCTGAAGATAAAACAGGTAATATTATAACAACTCGCGCTATTATTGAAACTCCTATTGACCAAGCCTCACCAGTTAACCCTGATAGAAGAATCGTGGAACACAATATAACAATCGCTGAAACAACAGATTCAGAAATAGAAACAGAAAATAAGGAAAAAGAAATCTACAGATGGAAAAAAACTAATCAAACAAACTGGAAAAGAAATAAAGAGTTGGAGACGAAACGAAAATGTTTGCCATATAAGAGTAAAACTGGAAAGCTTCTTGCAGCTAAACTACCTAAAAGTCCTAAATGCAGCAACAATTGTCGCCAAAAATGCACAGAAAAGTTTACACAAAACGAGCGTGAGAAACTTTGCAAATCCTATTGGTCTATACAAGATTTTAAGCTTCAAAAAGAGTTTTTGCATAAGCGCATCATCATTAAGCCAGTGCAGACTACAAGAAAATTTGTACCGATCGACAAACAAAGAAGTTCTAGCAGAGAATACGGTTTCTATAAAAATAAGACTGTTTTTCAACGAGTATGCAAGAACTATTTTATGTCCACTCTTTGCATTTCTACTGGTCCAATCGAAACTGCAGTAAAACACGTGGATGATCATGGTGTATTTACAAAAATGGATCATCGTGGCAGAAAAGCGCCTACAAACAAAACTCCTGAAGAACAGATACAACAGGTAAAAAATCACATTGAAAGTTTTCCTTTAATTGATTCCCATTACTGTAGAAAAAAATCAACCAGGAAATACTTAGAACCTACCTTGTCAATATCAAAAATGTATGATTTGTATGTGCAGAAAATGAAAGACAGCAATAAAGTGCCAGTAAAATTAAACATTTATAAGAAAGTGTTTGGTACAGAATACAATTTAGCATTCTATCACCCCAAGAAGGATCAATGTAGCATGGGTAACAATTACAAAAAAGATAAAACTAATATAAATATCCAAAATGCGTATACTCAACATATAGAGCGAAAGGAGGCATCTTATAGATCTAAAGAGCTGGATAAAAAGAAGTCGGAAGAAGATGAATCATTTTTGTGTGTCACCATGGACTCGCAAAGTCTACTGCAGATTCCATCGACTGCAGATATTCAGATGTATTATTCCAGAAAATTAAATTTATATAATTCATCTATTTATGAGTTTAAACCTCCACAGAACGACGCTCACTGTATGATCTGAACGGAAATAAACGGCAAAAGAGGCAGTGTTGAAATAGCATCTGCTATTCATTTATGGATTAAGAAGCTCCCCGAAGTTTTAACGCACGTCACCATTTATTCCGACACGTGCTCGGGACAAAACCGAAATCAGTACATAGCAGCATTTTTATTGTACTTAGTACATACGCATGAGACAATCAAAGTATTAGAACAAAAGTATCTAGAAAGTGGTCATAGTTTTATGGAAGTAGACTCAATGCATAGTGCCATAGAAAAAGAAAAAAGGTATACAGACACGTATTCTATAATAGATTGGAAGGGAATTATGCTACGGGCAAGATCAAAAAGACAAAATAAAAATGTAACTCCATATAATGTAACTGAATTGTCATATCAAGACATGATTGATGTAAAAGCACTTGCTTCGAAAATAATTAAAAACAAAATTATAGCGGAGAATGGGGAAAAAGTGTGCTGGTTGAAAATAAAATGTCTAAGATTTGAAAAGGAATTACCTGGTTTTATTAAATACAGATACGATTACGATGGGCAATATAATTTACTAAATACTCTTTGTAAACCAGGGAGATCGACTAGGAGAACTCCAAACTCTGAAATTCCAACTATAAATACTGAAGATCTTCCCCGGGCATATAGACAATGTCTTCCTATAACAAACCAAAAAAAGAAAGACCTTTTACAGCTCTGCAAGAAAAATATAATTCCTAAAGAGCTTCACGGCTGGTACGAAAGTTTACCATGTTTAAACGAAGACCAGGGTACACCACACTCCACTGATTCATCCGAAGTCGATGAGTAAGCTTAGTTTAGCCCTCTGCTCTACATATTGGTGATTTTTTTAAACCTAACAGCATTAGTGAGTACAATGATTTTACAATAGGGCTTTTACATTGTTAAATTAACGTGATGTTGATTTCTCAAGTCGTGTTTTTTAATAAATTTCTTATTTAATTTTAAATTATACTTACGCTGTGTTTGAATTAATGGGTACCTATGTTTATGTCTTTTTACAAGTTTACATGTAAGTATTGATTAGGTACAGTCATTTCAATTGTTTTGAAGTTTAAATTATGTTTTATTTTGTTAAAAAGGTATTTTTAGTTCTAAGTAAATTGATATTAGACGTTGTTGATTAGTGAACTCAATGTACCTGATTAGTGTCATATTATTTTTTGAGTTTTATTTAAGTTGTATTTTTTTTTGTAAGTTGTGTTTTACTTACCAAATTACGAAAAATTGTTTTGCTGTTCATTTTTTAGTTGAGTACTTACCTTAGGTGCAAACAATCTTAATTTTTTGAGTTTTAACACAGAATAGTATAATAGTAAACTGTTAATTATGTTTTGATTTGATACAAACTTATATTTTTTAGTTCTAATTGATATCTATTTTAAGGTTTTTCATAGTTTTACTTACTACTTAAGTATGTCTTTTGTAATTAGGTCTCTGATTATAGAGCCATATTGTTATTTTTTATTTTAAATCATTTTCTGTTTTGATTTGAAAGAATACTATAACTTAATTTGTTTCCACTTGTTATAATTGCTATAATTTTGTTTATTTTTTTAAGTTTGTGGCAAGATAAATATCTGTTTACAATAACCTTTTTTTGAATTTTATTGTACTTTTATATTTCTTCTAAAATATAACTTTATTAATATCATAATACAGCTTTTATTTTAAATGAGACCAATAAAAGTTAAATAAATATCAAAATAATGTAACGTACAAAACCACTAAGTTTTACATTTAAAAATATTTCGAGTTTGATAAATTCAATAACTGCATTTATTTCACCAAATTCTACTCTACCAAATGGATTTAGCTTGTAGGAAAACTAAATAAATAACCGAAATAAGTCGCTAATTGTAGTTACGTTATAAATAATGGTTGTGGCAAAATTAAACAACTTGATTTTTAATGTTTTATTTTTTTATAGTTAAAGATAGAGTTCAGTTTGTTAAAGCATAATGTAAAAGGTAATCAGGTCCGCAAAATATAAAATTACCGACCGTAAAATTGTCTCACATTTTTGAACAAATGTACATTAACTGAAAAAAACCCACTAAATCGCGTTTATCTCAGAACTACAAAATCATAGTTATTTAATTTTCCAACTACGGGGACGATATATTTGATGGCTTGCACAGAGTAGTAGTACTCGACATTTATGTGGGCGTTAGACGTTTCACATAGTAGCGGGGAATATGGGGCAATCCACCTATTGTCTATAGTGAATCTACTTCCCCTGATATTCAAGGAAGAACTCCTACCTCCATTTTCAGTATTTCGACGACGATCGTCACCAGTCTCAGTATTATTGACAAAACGTCGAGGATATTTTTTTGGTACAGATGCCGATCTTCATACATGGCGCTGATAGGTTATGCTTTCCGCACGGTCCATGTACCATATTTTTAGTAACAATATCGTACAATACCGGATCATTTTGTTAGTCGTGTAGTTCAGTTAATATCACACTGTCAATTTCGTCTAGTTTGATTTTTCTTTTCAGCCAGAACATCAAATGACAGTGTGGTAAACCGCGCTACTGCCACTCAACACTTACCATATAACATGACACTTTACCGAATACTTCATTAATTGTAAAAAAAAAATTTTTTTTTTTCATTTCCGACAGTTCTTGTTCATACTACAGATCTTGTTCATAGCTCCGATTTGGACGGAAGTTTGTTGAGTATAGTCTATTTGTGGTTCGTACCTAAAAGTCAATCTGTTACTGTTAGCTAAAATTCGTTGGCGAATTCTAGTTGTTGTCACTTGCTGTCTTTCTCTTTGCTCTCTAAGTCGCTCGGAGTGTTCATAAGTCGATTCCCTAGCGCGAGCTCGCCTAGCTCTAGTATTTTGTTCTTCAAGCCGCTGCAAACGCTCGGTACTCGACTCACGTGCACGTGTTTGTGAAGTTATAGCATTCTGTTCAGTAAGACGCTGCGAACGCTCGGCACTCGACTCTCGTAAACGTAACTGCGAGGATCTGATGTTTTGTTCAGAGAGACGCTGCGAACGCTCGACACCCGACTCACGTGCAAGTGCCTGTGAGGTTATTGCATTCTGTTCTGCAAGACGCTGCGAATGCTCGATACTTGTCTCTTGTGCACGTACCTGTGGGGTTCTAGTGTTCTGTAAAGGAAGTCGCTGCAAACGCTCGATAGTCGACTCACGTGCACGTGCCTGTGAAGTTCTCAGATTTTGTTCAGCAAGACGCTGTGAACGTTCTGTTACATCCCTAATTTTGATGATATTGCATAGGGATGCAATACAATATTGCTGACTTGCAATAATAGCAAAATGACGTAAATTCAACATTGCAGATCAGCAATAAATACATTATAAATAATAATAAAAAAAATATTTCAGAATTTGTTTTCCATATTTTGTTAGTAATAATTTGCTTACATACTAATGTTAGTATAAGTTATATTTATTCTAATGAAAACAAAAACAATTCATATTACGGCATGTAGCCGCATCCATCGGCGCATCATCGGCGTCTCCCACCGATCTGTGAACACCCTTAGGTTAGGTTAGGTTGGTACTGCCGCGAAGACGCGTCATCAGGGAGGCGCATCTTTTTCTAATTATGGCTGCAAAGCCGTCAACTTGCGCCTCTGTAAACATATCTGATGCGCTGCACCTCCACGGCAGCCCCAACAGCACCCTAAGTGCGTTATTGTATTGAACACGCAGGTCGCTGTATGCCCGCCCACCATAACTAACCCACAAGCTACACGTGTAGAATGACTGGCAGTAGGCTTTAAATAACGTTATCTTTACTGCATACCTACATCGTGCAAACCTTCGAGCCAGCATGTTACAACGGACAGCCAGCGACCTGCGCTCCCTATCTATGCCTAGATTATCAATTAAATCTTCGGTGACCCAGTGACCCAAGTACTTGAACTTATTAGCCCTAGATAGAGGTACCCCAGAGAGTAATACATCAGGTATAGTTGTGTAGCTCTTGTTACTTGATTTAAAAACTAATAGTTCACTCTTCTTCACATTGTACCTGAGGCCATGAGCCACCGCATACGACTCACAAATAGAGACGAGTCGTCTCAGGGCACCGATTGATAGGCTCAGCAACACCATGTCGTCTGCATAACTGATATTATTTATACAGACCCCATCTACATAACACCCGACATTAGTATTGCTAAGCTCAACAATCAGCTGATTGATGTACAGATTGAACAAACGGGGCGAGCTTAATCCCCCTTGCCTTATACCACAGTCCAATCTGTATACCTTTGAAAAGGAATTTAACCACCTTACACTATTTCTTTGATGTCCATACCAGTACCGAAATATGGATATAATCTCCGGTGGCACTGTAGTACTTTGTTTAAGCTTTTTCCATAGTAAATTATACGATACAAGATCGAAAGTTTTTGATAAGTCCAGAAAACAGGCATAAACCGGCGTCTTTCTATCCGTATAGTATTGAACAGTCTGCTTGAGACACAAAATAGCGCTCTCGGTAGATAGCCCTGGTCTGAAACCAAACTGGCTGTCATGTAACTGAAGATGCTTGGCCAATTGTTTATCAAGCAGACTGTCCAACACCTTGGCTATAATGGTCGCCAATGATATGGGCCTGTAATTGGAAATTTCAGACACATCACCCGTTTTATTTTTCACTATGGGCACCACCATTGTATACATTAGAGCATCAGGTAAGTAGCAATGCTTAATACACAAATTAAAAAATAGTTAAAGTACTCGTGGCAAATGTACTCCCGCATATTTCAGATGCTCGATGCTGAGGTCATCATGACCAGGGGACTTGCCTCTCTGCATTCCCTGAATAACTGAAGCAACTTCTTCAGCAGAAAATCTAACAGTGGGGTCACCAGTGATGCCCTCAACATCGATCACCCGATCCGATATATTTAGCGGTGATTCGACCTTGAAATGCTGCTGGAATGCATTGGCGATATCGGTTGGTTTATAGACACCCGCTACACTCACAGGAGGTCCCGACTTATAATTTAATTTATAGGTAGACTTCCAGAAATCACGGAACTGCTTTTTGTCATGCTTATTAGCTAAAATGTCCATTTTTATTTGTTGTTCATTATCTTGGCAGTACTTTAGTTTACTTTTAAAGATCTTTCTAGACGCGCACATATTCTGGTAAACATATCCAGACGTTGGTTTTCCCTCTTTTAACCAATTCTGATACCATAGCCGGGCCTCCTTGTGAGCGCCCCGCACATGTCTATTCCAACCCGTTACTTGTTTTCTTTTATTGCATCTCCCATCGTTACCTAAATAGGTATATTCTGCACTATATTTCAAAGTGGAAACCACTTTGGCATACATATCATCTAACACTAAAAAATGACTGGGGTCGGAACACACTCCATCTCCATCATCTCTAAAATGAACTGAAAAATCTATTTCCTTTAAATGAGAGTTACAAATATTCAAGTAATTATTAATTTGACTAGTGTTCCTTTCACCCCACACTACCCTATTGCACACATATGGTGAGTCTTTTATTCTGGGTATAATCAAACTAATATTACATTCAATCAACACAGGGATATGATCGGATGAGTAAACATCATAACGTACAGAAACATTCGTAACTAAATTCCTCGCTGCACTACTCACCACACAGTGGTCTAGCCAGCGGAGAGCACCATTTGCCACACTTTTAAAAGTATATGAGTCATTAGGAAGTAGTTCTGTGTATACGCACGACCACGATTGTTCCGCACACACAGTAACCAATTCGGTAGCGAAAGGTTCACCCGGATGCGCGTTAAAATC